AAAAAAAAAAAAAGAAAGACAAATCTCTTATCGTGAACATGGTGGGGTATTTTCAGCATGAGAAAGGAAAAAAAGAGCGGACGGGAGGAGCCGCTGTGTGAGCGCCGAGAGCGCCCGGCACCTTATCTTAAAGCTGTAGCATTCAATTCTGGAATCATATCAGCTGGTTGTTCAGCTTCCGCGAGGAAAATTTGAAGCTAAGTTAAAATAAATTTTTAAAAAAAGGGCATTTTCTCAAAGTGCAGATCAGCATGTTGCAAGCTTAAAAGGGAAACGTGCCATCCATGCTGTGGTTGGGAGCATCCTTCCACAAACGGAGCGAGGAGAAGAGCAGATGCAACACTGCACGGTTTAACGTATCTCCATTATTTAATAACACTAAAGAGCTCATTAGGAGGTGCCTCAAGTCCCTGCAGGGGTTAACCCCTCACACTTTCCAGGCTGGGCCTGGCATCCTCACACCAAGTTCTTTACGCCAGGTTTTTGCCCAAGGTTTCTGTACAAACCTGGCTTCTCTTGGATGCTCATCCTGTGCCTAAGAGAAAAAGCTGTTGCTCCCTAAAATAACTGTAGACCCTTTGCCTGATTTAGAAGAAAAAATGTTTAGTGTTCCTTCATAAATAAGACCTGATTAAAAAGTAATTGTGTCAACAGGAGAGGCCTTTCCCTTCAAACATTTTGCTGTCTTAATTATTGGGTTTTCAGCTGGTTGTTCCATGTAGGTCTGGATTAAGGCAGTTTGCTGTGGAAAGCTTCAGTTATTGGAGATGACACTGTTTTGCCAGAAGACAGGGCAGCAGGCAGGGAATGTGACCCAGAGGGAGCAGGGAACACATCCTGCTTCTCCAACTCTACACCTTTATCACACCAACCAAAGTAAATTGTTTTGTTTAGTCATTTCTTCACTTCCAGCATTTATAGACACAAAGATTTTAATTGAATAGATGGAATGAGCTAAAGGTCCTTCAGTAGGAGGGGTGTTCCCTCAGCTCATCCATGGGAAGAGAAAGGGTGGTACCATGAGGGGAGGTGTTTTACAAGAGGAAAATTTGTGAAAGAAAAGTTTTAAAACCGTCCTAATTTAAAGCTATGTATTCCCCATAATGGTTTTGGTTTGGTACTTTAAGATGTTTCTGGCAGGGAGCAGAGGTGGAGAAACAGGAGAGGAGAGAAAGGATGAGGACCAGAGCATTCTCATCCCTCAGAGGCCTCCACACCCATCTTCCCTAATGAATATTAGCAGGTATTCCACATTCCCAACCAACAAAATAAAGAGCACAAAGTGACTGAGCAGCCATTCCCTGCCCTGGTGAGCACTCCCTGAAGCTCCTGCTCCCCTCAGAACTGCTGCCAAGCACTATGGCTTCCCTTCCACTCCCCCTCTCTCATTCTTGTATTTTTATTGGGTTGTTTTTTTAAAGGAAAAAAATTAACATATACCATAAAACGGAAAGAGAAAATCCATGCTGCTTTTCAGCAACAACAGGACTTCATCACAGCAAACTGCATGAAAATTGTATTAATTCTTCAGAAACCAGACAGATTCTGTCTCCTCTTTGAGGTGGAGAGAGCCTTTATGAATGATATAACAAAACCACCTCCTTCAAAAATTCTGTCATGTGGAGATCTTGCTGCATCCACCCCTTGATGCTGAGCACTTCATCAGATCACATTCAAGTGTCTGCTCCACTCCAGCACTTCAGTGTCCAGGGACAGGCACTGCTAGGTGCTATACATTTCAGCCAGACAAGCAACACGACGCTCACAATGGGCATTAGGGGCGAGGCTGAAAGGAAACATTCATTAAATAATCGTGTGTGCCCTATTACCATAATCACAGGGCATTCATTGTGCCTTGGATGTTTCCTCATCTTGTTCTCTCAGAGATGAAAATCTCTCATTCCCTTCCTTGTGCATCTGTTTGTGTCTCCAGCCATGGCCTGGACACAAAATCAAGCAGGAATGTCTGTCTGACCTGAGAGAGCCTATCTTACCACTGCTGTTATAACACAAATACTTTAAAATTATGATCTCTTCTTAGCTGAATTCTTCATTTTTTGTTTCCACATAGTGTGATAGAACACTATTCAAGCAACAGCCAACAGGTGATTTACTAAACTGTCATCAGAACTACACTATTTATTTTAAATTTAGCTTTTAATGACACTACTTCTTCTAAATTTAGCTTTTAACCAAAATTTAAACTTCCTTATTCTTGCAGAGAAAAGGATGTTAAGAAGAAAACAAAATTCTTAACAAAGAGCTAAAAAAGATTAATGCAAGAATAGTGACAGTCTCTTGTTGTTCACTCACACAAAAAGATGCCAAACAAATCTGGCAGCGTGGTTTGTGCCCAGGCCAGTGACAACTCAGCTGGTGAACACAGGCAGATGGAACTGCACTCACAAGGGGAGGTGCTTTAGGACAATTTGCTAAAACAAGAGACAGTCTAATGCAGAGCCAAGGTGAAATCCTGCTGCTGCTAGCACGCCTGAAGAACAAAGATCGACAATAAACAGCCCACGGATGGCAGGAGATGTTTTCAGAAGCCAAAGATTTGTAATTTAATCAACACCAGCAAATACCTTTTGAAAGTCTCTAATTTAGACAAGGCCTTCTACTACCCAGCTTTTACATCACACGCTAACTTTAGGCTTTTCAATTTTAGAACAATTTCAACTTGTTCTCAAGAACAAGCACGCCTTTGAAATTCTTTTTAGAGTCCCCAAAGGAGGGAAAGGAAATTAGTTAGCTCACTACCTCTTTGAAAAATGTAACTGCTACAATAAATATTTGACACCAAAGTATGAAAATTCATGTAAATTTATGTCCGCAATTCCAGAAATATTTTAAGTAACACCTATATAAAATATGGTTTTGCAAGGCAAGATGATTTTATAAGCACTGTTTTGGCATGACTGAACTGAGGGCTGGAGAAGCCACCAATGCATTGCACGTGTCACTGAGCTAAACTCACTCTGCAGCACACCTACAGCACGTCTGCTTTCTGCATTTCCATCCTAAAATCATTCAAGTGCTTGAAAATCAGGTTTTTACATGATTACCCTGCCCCAGCCTCTGCCCAGGCAGGGCACAGGACATGATCTGTCCCCAAAGAACAACTCCAGCAAAATGGAGCATTTTGTGTCTCCTAAGCCTATCAATGAACCTGCATGTTCCATGAGGATATGGGGATTACCCATGCCTGCAAATGCTGCTGCTGAAAGCAATCTGATCCAGCAGCCTGGAGGAGTGAGTGCTAATCATGTTGGGGTCTGCTTCAGCATAACTTTGGGCAGAAAAGGAGCATCTTCACTGCAAGTTAAGGGAGAAAACCAGAACAGAGCTCCTTTACAGCAGGTAAATTAAATGGATTTTAATTTACACTTTTTTTGGGGGAGATTTTTCTGTAAGTTGAAACATAAAGTCTCCCAAGATATAAGGGGTGCAATGAGCCAAGGGCAAATGGGATAGTGAAAAATACATTACCACACGTGGGGTACTGTACATGACTTTCTATTTCATCGCAGGCTGCAATAATTTAATTGGCATGACTGTGTTTTCTGTAATACTTACATCTTTTCACCAACCACTAATAATTCTTTTTCGACTGCAAACTAAAAATTGCAAGAAACTTTTTAAAAGAAACAAGCCGATCTTTAGCCAAACTGCAGTTTGATTTATCCTCCCCTAAAATAATGCAACTGAATGGTCTCACTCTCACTATATAAAATTATATTCCTGATCTATACATTTTTATTCATAAAGGCTTTTTAGAATTTTAATATTTTTAAAGTATGAGCAGCACAAACTCCACCTCAATCATTCCATCTTCCCAAGCTTCTGGCATGAGTGAATTTGGTTTTAAATCACAGAATTGTTTGGGTTGGAAGGGACCTTTAGAGCTCTTCTGATTCCAAGCCCCTGCCATGGGCAGGGACACTG